GGGCAGATGATACAATCTTAACATATTTATTTCCTTTACTACATTTCCCCCCAGAATTAAACCCAAACAAATGGTATAACCTAAGCTTGTTGTTCTTGTTTGGTCATTGAATCTGTTAAACATCTTCGTTATGCTGTGTGCTAATTTACTGCTCGCCCTCTGCCTATATGAATGGACTGATAATTTCCATTTCACTGTATCTGAAGAAGTGTGCATGCACATGAAGGCTTATGCCTCAAGTAAATGATGTGATTGTGCATGCTGCTGTCAGATATAAACTTTAGAGATGATCTGATATGGCATTCTTTACAGGGAAGTATAAATGAACATAGAAGTATGCTGCAGGAGCAGTATAACTGGTTGACGGAGCAGTGGAACTGTGTCACTTGGGCCATGGATTTGTTGAGTGAGTGTGCAAAAGTGTGCAAAAGATTCAAGTCCAGTAGCGCTTTAAGAGACCAACAAGATTTCCAGGGTATAAGCTTTCAAGAGTTAAAGCTCCCTTTGCCAGATCTGATGTTCAAAGAGCTTGATGTATGTTATCTGATCTTTACAGTGACTCTGTGGGTTACAGCAGTAAAGCAATCCCAATATTATCATTGGATGGTCAAGGCAGATAGAGGACAGCCTGCCAGAAGCTACAGCTAGTACCTAGTCAAACAGAAACGTGAAGCCTTGTGCCTCAGGGTCACAACATGAGCTCTTATGATCAGCATTGTTTTCACATTCTAACACTCTCAAAATATAATTTAAAGCAAAACAAAATCCCTCACACTTACAGTTTCTTGGCTTTATACTGTATTTTCTAAGCTTTATAGTTATAGAGAAAGAGTAGAAAACCAAAAGATTATGTTCTAGTCAGACTAAAAAACACATGGTGCAATCCTAAATAGAATCACACCATTCTAGGCCCATTGTCTTCAATAGATTTATATAGGTGCAACTTTGTTTAGGACTGAAGAAGACTAGGTTCTTAATACCCTGCTTTTCTCTACCTTAAGGAGTCTCAAACTGGCTTATAAACACATTCCCTTCCTCTCCCCACAACAGACACCTTGTGAGGTAGGCGTAGCTGAGAGATTTCTGAGAGAACTGTGACTGGCCCAAGGTCACCTGACAGGCTTCATGTAGAGGAATAGGAATCAAACCCGGTTCTCCGGATTAGAGTCCGCCAGTCATAACCACTACACCACATTGGCTCTTGAGCGTACTGTAAAAAGCTGGTTTCTATCCTGCTAAGTCTACAGTTTCTTATTTTCCTTTGCCTGTTCATCCGGACTCTAAAGGCCAACTGACATGGCAAAGCCCTCCTTCTCCTCCTTGAGTACTTTGATGGGATGTGCTCTGACAATTAAGTACTTGCAATTTAATACCATGGGATGCAAGCCCGGTTTCAATCAGGACTCTGGCCATGTTGCATGGGAAGAAGGGGTTTAAGCCTACCCCCCTGGGCTGTTTTCTGACCCCGAAATAGCTTGTATTGTTGCAGAGACTTGTGTACTAATGAACTAAATGCAAAGTTCTTCAACAGGGCAACTGGTGACAACCAAGGACTGTTTCAGGTGGGAAAAACAGCGCGGGGTGTGTGTGTGTGTTAAGCCCCATCCTCTCCCGTGCCATAGTCCCAACACAATTGAGCCCACACATTTATGGGAATTAAATTCAGACCCCAAAATATGTCTGTTGACAGGACCTATGGGAGAAACACAAGGATTTTGTAATATGTACTGGCCTTATTTTCTGCCAGACTAGTTTGAATGGATAGCTCTTGAATCACTCATTGAAAGTACCAAAATAAATCGTGTCAATTTGACTTCCTGGGGAATACCGGCTTCTTTGGCTGCTCTTTTTCAAGAACAGCTGTGCCAGAATTATGGCTTGCCCAAGGTCATCCAGCCAGGTGCAAGTGGAGGAGTGGGGAATCAAACCCGGTTCTCCCAGATTAGAGTCCGTGCACTTAACCACTACACCAAACTGGCTCATATAAGCTTTGGGGAGTCAGGTTCCCATCATCGGATGAATCTAACTGTTCTAATGCAGACCAACACAGCTACCCTCCGAAACTGTCAGAGGAAGCTCTCTCACAGACTCAGTTCCCCATCTGTAAAATGGGCCTACTTATTCCCTTCTTGCTAATATTTTATGAACCCCACTGAAGCCCTCAAATTGCTGGTTGGTAGTCCAGCACCCGTGAGAAAATGGGCACCCGCAAAGTGGGCTGAACCTGAAATGTATTTGCCTGCCCATAATATGAAGATGACAGGCTGCAGCCATACCAGATGAAGTTAAAATTGGCAAAATTACACATCTCCAGCACAGACAAATGTTTCCCCAACCTATACTCACCCCATAACGCACTGTTCTAGTTCAAGTGCCCATTTCCACACATTAGGCCTCTATTAACAAGGCAGGACATTTTTCTTTTAGTCAATCAACAACTCTAGTTGAGAGAGGGGAAAGTAGTCTCTGCTAAGGTAAGAGACACCCACAGGAAAAAAAAAACGAAGAAAAAAAAAACGCTGTCCAATTAATTTAGCCAACCTTTCCCATCAGTTAAGGTTTTAATTAATTAAGCAAATAATACAACCCTACTCATAGGGGGACGGAAACTGGTGTGCTACAGCCTGGTCTCATCAGATCTCGGAAGCTAAGGATCTGGGGAAACAGGATCTGGGCCAGTCATACACACTCAGCCTAACCTACCTCACAGGGTTGTTGTGAGGCTTCAACAGAGGAGAGGAGAATGATGTAAGTAGCTTTGGGTCCCCATTGGGCTGAAAGGCAGGATATAAATAAGTTAAGGGTCAGGACTAGTAGGAAGGGAGACTACCAAGGAAGACTCAGCAGAGGTAAAGGTAAAGGTTCCCTTGCTCGAAAGCCAGTCGAGTCCGACTCTAGGGTTGCGGTGCTCATCTCCGTTTCAAAGCCGAAGAGCCAGCGCTGTCCGAAGACGTTTCCGTGGTCATGTGGCTGGCGTGACTAAACACCAAGGCGCACGGAACGCTGTTCCCTTCCCCCCGAAGTGGTACCTATTTATCTACTTGCAATGTCTTGCTTTCGAACTGCTAGGTTGGCAGGAGCTGGAACTAGAGACGGGAGCTCACTCCGTCATGCGGCACCCAGGTCTCGAACTGCTGAACTGACCTTCCACAGCCTGCAGTTCAGTCTCTTAACCACTTGAGCCACCGCAGCAGAGGTAGGCAATGGCAAAGCCCCTTGCTGGGAACAGCACTTTACAACCACACATAAGTAGTCTTCCTGGACTTGAGAAAAGTGCCAAGCCTTAACCCCCTATGTTCCTGGTGACTGGGGAAGGCATGACAGAAAATGCCTTCCGATGCCAGCACAGGTATTTGGAAGGTCAGACCCAGCCAAGGAAAGGGATTCTCTCTTCTTCCTGCAGCAGCTCCCTCCCAGCCCCAATTCAGAGGACTTCATTAACAGTGCCACTTAACAGCACAGGCAACCCTAACTGGGAAAAGATCAGAACAAAGTTTGAGTCCGGTGGCACCTTTAAGACTGACAGAAAGTTTAATTCTAGGTATAAGCTTTCATGTGCATGCACACTTCTTCAAATGTTTCTCTGAAGGCATGTTTGCCAGACCACAAAACGCCCCAAGTGTTGGCAAAACAATGCTACATAAACATTCCCCTATGCAAGCCCCACTAAAACGGAACGGGGTGCTCCAGAATATCTCAGTGGGGAGGGTCCCCCAGTGGATTGTGCCCCTGAAAGCTCATCACAAAGGCTGCAAACCCTGTACACACAAACACACTGATCTACAAATAACATCCCACTCAAAGCTGAGATTCCCTTCTGAGCATTGGTTTGGGCTGTGCGTGCCACCAAAAATAAAGGGAACAAGTCAAGTCATGATTAACTTGTTCCATTGGTTTCAAAGGGACTTACTTAAATGACATTTAACTTTACATAGATTAATCATAGAACTGGAAGGGGCCATGCAGGCCATCTACTCCAACCCCCTGCTCAACGCTGGATCAGCCTAGAGCATCCCTGACAAGTGTTCGTCCAGCCGCTGCTTGAAGACTTCCACTGAGGGGAGCTCACCACCTCCCAAGGCAGCTCATTCCACTGCTGAGTTTCTTTGACTGTAAACAAGATTTCCTGACATCCAGCTGGTATCTTTCTGCCTGTAGTTTAAACCCAGTTGCGAGTTCTATCCTCTGCTGGAGGATAAGGAACAATATATATTTATTTTAAAAGGCAGGCATCTAGTCAGAAATGCGAGTAACAACAGCACAAAGGACCAGATTATAAATTAACCACTTTATTGAATATCAATAAATCGTATATAATTATATATATAAAAATGTTTCTTTTTATCAGTATAAAATCGTGGCACAAAAATATATAAATACCAGTGTACCTTTGAAATGTAAACATACCCTTTTTTCTTGTTGTTTATGGTGTGGAAACAATGTACAAAAAAGAAAAAATGCATTCAGGAGGCACCTGTCAATAGCCATAAATAGCTCTTTTGGCACACACCTGTCAATGGGCAGCCCTCTCTGACACAGGCTGCTATTGTATCGCTTGACAAGTGCCGGCTATTAGTCACAGTTCTCTTGTGGGGGAAGGGGGGGGGGGAAGGCAGTTGTTTAAAAGAAGTCATATTAACAGGTGCTTGAGTGCAGTGTGGCTCTGTAAACAGGAGGGCTTGTTTGAAACGGCTACCCCAATGCCTTCTATAGACATTGTTAATCTCGGGAGGCATTGCTAATCGTAATTGTGCTGGTCGGGAGAAGCAGCTGCCTCAGAGCTAATGCAATACTGTATTACTGCATAGTTACACCTTCTATAGGCGGTGCATATACAATGCTGGAAAGGGAAGGAGGGGGGAAAGAATCCAGGTCGGCTTTTTTTTGTTTTTTAATACTTTTGTCCTTTGTTGATAGGCACATCAGTTCGGGGTTCGGTCTGTTACTTCTCCCCCACACCCACCCACCCACCACAACCCAAATACAAAAATACTGTGTGATTTCAGGACAGCCAGGTGCAAGGCTCAATCCTGCCAGGTGCTGAGCACCTAAAGTCATTCCTACACTTGTAAATCAAGAACAGGACAGAAGACAGATGTTCACCTCAATGGCTTTTTAAAAGGCAGGTTTGGTAACGCACGGAGGATAGGATGCTCAGAGGCTGAGAGTCAAATGGTGCCTCCATGTTCAGAGACAACATACCCCAGAATACCAGATGCTGGGGAGAAACAGAGATGTGCATCACTGGCATGTTTTGCTCGTGAGCACCCAGAGGCACCTGCCCGGCCCCCTTTTGAAGAAGAAATGCCAGAGTAGACTCGATGGATCCTCAATGCTGACCCAGCAGAGGTTTGCTTGTTTATTGCAGGTCCAGAGAGTTCAATTCATACAAAACATTGGCGTGCTCTCCTTTTGGCAACACCTGCAGTGTGATGCCACCTTTACCCTAGGCAAGAAGCATTCTGCCACCACCAGGGGAAAAGGGCTTCAAAAACAAAACTACCTGGAGGACAAAGATCTAAGAGGTGTTTCTTTAAGGCTTGCAGCAGCTGGGAACAACAGTCTGAGAACACTGCCCCGGCAGCTGAACAGAAAACTACAGTTCTACAGAAACTAGTTACAATACATGGATGAGCATGGAGGAGTCCATGGCCTTTGGCAAGTTCTTAGCGGGTTCCAGTGCAGCCCGTCTCTTCGTGTTTGTGGAGAAGCGACATGCGGGAGAAAGTCCGGGAGCAGGTTTTGCACTGGTACTTCTTCACGTCAGAATGGGTCTGCAGGTGAGCGCGGAGGTTTGACCGGTCGGCAAAAGCTCTGTTGCAGTGTGTGCAGGAGAAAGGTTTCTCACCTAGGAAAATAAAAAAAAGAGGTAAGGAAAGTCAAACACAAACGCTAAAAGAGGTACCAAGGCCTTCTATTAATCTTTGGAAGTGATTTCCTGAAAAGCATACAGCAGGAAGTCACTTGGAAACACTTTTACGTGGGCAACTTCCACTCTGCAGTTTCTGGAAACACTTTACATCTTTACGTGGGCAACTTCCACTCTGCAGTTTTATATATTCATCTAATTATGCCCATGGGTTGTAAAGAGAAAGAGAGAATCCAATGTATCCATAACCAATTTGGGCAGATTTGCACCAATTCCAGCATTGTTCCTTGGAAATCAGTTCACTAATATTGGCTGGCAATCTGTGAACTGGTGTAGCACAGGGGCTAACAGTACAATCCTAAGCAGAATCTCCTGACTTCACTGAACTTTGATCTGAGAGGTCCCTGGTTCAAATCCTACCCCTGCCATCAATTTAGCCAGGGCCTGTGGACAAGCTACTGCCTCAGCCCTTTATGCGCTATATGGGGAAGACAGTCTGCCTCACAGGGCTGTTATAAGAACCGCAAGACGGTGTATTTCTCTGAACAAGGAGAAAATGCCAAGGATTCTGTAGTACAACAGATTTAAGATAAGATCTTAGCCTTGTTGTATTCCACTCAGAAGCCAGCCTCCACTGGCATAATCCAGCAGTTTTAAGCCTCACTCATTTCAGTGGAGGAGGGAGAGGAGACATGCACCTAATTCAATGGCACATTTTTAAAAGTGCTGAAGGAACAGGACTATGCTCATTGATTTCGCACCTTCGAATCCCCACTCTCTCAGCCTAACCTACTTCACAGGGTTAGTTTGTTGGGAGAAAAAAAAAATGAACTCAGCTGTACATCAACCAAGGAGCCCACAGAAGGATTCTCAGCTACTGTTGTGCAACAATCCAGATAAAAGACAATTAAAAACCCTCTTGGCTTCAGATTCCAAGTTTGTTTTATCCGAAAGACAACTGCAGTCAAGACTGTGCAAAAGGTGAAGCCTTCTTTGCATCAGAGGATGGTCATCTTGGAAGGATCCCAGATCCAAGTATAGGTCTGTCCTTTGCAGCTTTCAACACCCCCCCCCCCCCCCCCCCCCAC